AGACATAATGTTACAAAATATTTATATTGTTACAAAATATTTCTATTTTTAATAAAGACTGTTTTTTTACTTTCTTTTCATCAATGAATTCTGAAAAAAATGCATTACCGTTTCCACAAAAATAGGCAACTGTTTAAAACATTTGATAATAATAAAATCAGCATATTCGATTTCTGAAGGATCATGTGACACTGAAGACTAGCGTAATGGGTGCTGAGAAATCAGATTTGGCATCACAGGAATAAATTACATTTTAAAATGTATCACAAATTCATAAGAGACGTATTTCAAAACCATTAAAAAATTCTTACCTAAAACCTTTAAGTCAGTTAAACCAGAAAGAGTATATTTTTTGAACAGAACATATTTTGTTGTCAAACGTTATTGTAAATGTTTTGCTTAAAATATGTGCTTTTTTTGATATTTTGTTATGTAATATAATATGAATCATACACTTTTAGATGTGACTTAATTGTCCAAATACCGCATCTTTTTCTGGTGCTGTCCATGGTGCTGGTTATTTTTGGTTCTTTTGTCCCAACTGTAAAGTTATGTGTAGTGTGTATCAGCGTCCATTAGGAGGCGGCAAAGGGCACATCTTTTCTAACCCAAGTATGAGCACATGTGCTTATATTCTTTGTGTTTCCTTACAGGCCCTGATGGGGGATGTGCATGTGAGCCCATTGGTGATCTACCTGGCGATCCTGGCCCCCTAGGCCCTCCGGGTGTCCCTGGTGATCCAGGGCAAAAAGGGTTCCGGGGTCCTCTTGGTGATGTCGGACTCATCGGAGAGATGGGTGGGAGAGGTGTAACTGTACGTAAACCTGGTTGAAATTCAATGTTTGTATTGTGCTTGTGTTTGTAATTAATCTTTTTTGTTGTTGTTTGTGTCTCTTGTTGTTTCTCAGGGTCCCAGAGGCTTCACAGGTGTCAGAGGGCTTAAAGGAGAGAAAGGAGAAGTTATGGTGATCTGCAAAAAGGGTGAAGCATATTCGCAGTTAATGGATTTTTTTT